ATGGTCCATCTCGTTCCGGTGGCAGCCTCAATCACCGCGGAAGAGTCTGCGGCCCACTTCGTCGACGTGATTTTTCGTCACCACGGTCTGCCGGAGTCCATCGTGTCCGACCGCGACCCGCGGTTTACATCCGCGTTCTGGTCACGCCTCTTCGAGCTCTTGGGAACCAAATTGCTGATGTCGACTGCGGCACACCCGGAGACGGATGGACAACCGGAACGCGTCAACCGCGTATTTGAAGACGTTCTCCGCAGCTATGCAACTTCGTACACGAGCTGGAGCTCGTTCCTACCGCTAGCCGAGTTCGCACTCAACAGCGTCGAGCACTCCTCGACGGGTAAGACGCCGTTCTTCGTGAACAACGCTCGCCACCCACGTGTTCCCGGCCACTTCTCGCCCGTGGGTCACCCCCACGGATGCTGGCCGCTCCACCCCTTGGTGGGGGAGAACCTCCTTCGGTCGACATGGACGCTGAGCTTGCGGTCAGTCCTGTGGACAAACGAGTCCGTGTTTGTGGTCATCACCGGTACGTGAACCGGTGTCTCAGCACGCCCCCGGTAGCCTCACCGGTGCCAACAGGCCTGCCGGCGCACTCGACTTCAGGATTATCTTCGGGTGTAGCCAGTGTGAATGCCTTGACTCGCTCGCCGTCCAAGCAGCCCATCGAGCCTCCTCGGCGTACTGCATCTCCGATAACGAGATGGACGTCGCAGAACTTGATCGATCCAGGCAGCAAGATTCGCGAGCAGGCAGTTACCACGGACAATTATACACCGACACCCTCGGTGCTCCCTGCCGATCGCTCGGCAGTTGCGGAATTCGTCATGCAAAGGCAACCCACCTCAATGTTCGTCCGCGACGCACTGCAGAATGCAGTGGACAAGCAAAAGGAACAAGCTGATAAGCACGGTCGAAAGAACGTAAATGTATTCAAGATAGGAGATCGCGTTCTCCTATCGACCGAGGGAATCCGAGCTTCTGCCGTAACCAACCTTGGCGCCAACAAACTTGCTCCACGCTTCATCGGTCCTTTTTGAGTAACCAAGGCTGTGGGCGACGCCTACACTCTGGACATTCCGTCGTCACTTAGACTCCACCCGACGTTTTACGTCGGGCGCCTCAAGCGGTATTTCCCTGCGACGATTTCTGACCCAAACCGGCAGACGGAGAATACGTCGGTCGACCTGCCCGACGAGCCTGACGCGCCAGAGACCCGTCAGCTCGCCAGGCACGATCTTCCGTCCGCTCAGCTCCAATATGAGCGTCCAACGCACGGTTCGAAGCAGTCTCCACCTCGCCCTGGACGTATAGGGCGTACGTCATATCACCGGGATGGTCCACCACCGATAATTGACTCGGTGGGTGACGCGCGCTGGATTGTGGAGCGTATCGTTGGCCACGAAGATCCCCACAACTCGGCTGTTCAACGTAACATCCGTAGTCATACTCTTCGCGCGGTCCCTACCGCGCGCCGCTATCTGGTACGTTGGCTCGGTTATTCTCCGAAGCATGATACGTGGGAGCCCCGCGCCAACCTTCTCCGCGACGTTCCGGACGTGGTCCACGAGTATGAAACCATGCTGCTTGAGAAGAAGAATTCCGCGGGCCACCCCGCGGAGACCGCGAACGAGATCGAGAACGGCCACGAGAACGACCCGCCACGAGGAGGCGACAACGATGTCGCGCTTCCGACGCGTGCAACGTCGGCGTGAGCCGCGGCGAACACTGACACAACTTGTCAGTGCAAGAATGAAACAAGAAACCACCCGGCAACATCGAACTGGTGACCAGTGGGTTGTCAACCCCGACACGCTACAACTGCGCCGAAATGACTTCGATTACCAGCGGCGACACGGTGGCCAACAAGTACCTAATTCTGGTGACACCAGTGGTGACAACTTGATGCTCACTCGGGTTGCTCAAGTGGTTGACTTCCGTCGACAAGTCTCATGTCTTCGAGACGTTCGAAGCTATTCCGTTCTGGCAGCAAAACAACACTCGCGTGTGCGTGAGTGAATGCGCCTGGTGGGAATCGAACCCTGGCGTTCTGACTGGAAGCCCCATGCATTGACCATTGCGCCACGAAGTCGGCTTCGTGAGGCTCCTCGTGTCCGTGATCCAAGTGCCCCCAGCTCGGAGTCCTCTAAGTCGCATGTACGCTGGGCACTTCGTCGATGTGTGTCCTGGGAGCCGAGACGCGCAGTGACGGTCCTCGCAGTACATCCACGAGCTTGTGGCGCACCTGTCGACCCTGGGCTTGCCCTTGTTACCACCGCCAGCGACGCGCTGGCGCTGCCGCCCTTCGCGCTGTCTCCGATGTCTCCGCCTTGTCGGTTTTCGAGTTTTCTTCAAATGTGTTCCGTGCGCTTATGTTGCGTAAGCGCAACTTAGAGAGGAGGGTGATGTAATAGGCCCAACTCCAATTACATAAGTAGGTAGATATTTCTTTAGTTATTACATAAGTAGGTAAAGTGGTAGCGTGTGCCAAAGTGTCATCATCTGATTATTTGATAGTGAGGAGCCAGACTCACTTATTGACCCATCAGATATAGACATGTGTATGAGTGGTTCACACGAGGCCAGGGGTAGCCGCCCTGGTCCTAAATAAATCAGAGTTGAATTGGACACAAACCTAAGACTTGGTTTTATTATTGCGAGCTTCCTCCGTCCTATAGTGTAAGCTAGTAACG